AAATTAGATTTAGAGACCGTTCCTCGTTGTTAGCCGACTTTAATATTATCTTAGCGCGATTAAAACTAAATTACGCCGTATCTGTATCTGCATTTGCAAATTGAAACGAGCGACTTTAAGCCCTTCGGATGGGGCCGAATTACATTGTAATCAGAAATGACCTTTATTTATCGCTATATTTACATCATAAGCAAACTTATTCTGCAAAATTCCTAACAAATTCGAAACAATGTTAGAAATGGTGACAATTCTTTTTCTTTCTTTTGATATTTGGTTGAAAACGATGATTAGTTTTTTTTTGGATAAACTTGTATCTTTAATAATAGAATTTGTATCAGCTTCGGTAGTATTAGTAAAAAAAGTACATCTTCAAATGATTGTAATATTAGAATAAATTGAACAAGGTGCTATTATTCCACTTAACCTCAAAAATGGAAAAAAAATATCCACAACGTAATAATTAATAACACGATTAATCAAACATGCAAACAAAAATACAAATTTTTATCTAGCTAAACATTTAACTGAACTAAGTTTTTCATAAAATAAATAAATTTTAAGATTATTTTTAATATTGGTGTTAAATTTTTTAGAAGGGTAGGCAAGACATTATACGATAATAATAACTGATTTTGTAGTTTAAAACTACTCTTAATGGAGACGTTATAGTTTTAGCACCCATACATAAACGTTCTCTCTCTACCTTATAAAAAATAAATTTCTAACGAATTTAAGGCGACCACAATAATTAATATTTAATTTGCATGCTTAGTTAGTGTTAATTGTTCGTCAAATAAAAATGACGTATTTTTTTATCAATAACCTAAAAATATCGCTTGTGCTTAAAAATTATGTTTAAGATAGAACGAACAAAGCTATTAAATATAATTATTTGGTAGCCTTGTCGAACAATTTTCAATCAAATGTTTATTCATTTATTTTCGTGGCATAATATCGATGTTGCACTACGACCTCGCGCGAAAACCTTTAAAAATTTGAGATAATTGAAAGAGATAGATTTATAGAGGTGGAAAGGGAGAAGAATGGGGGTCGATGGACATCGGTCTCGAGATAAGACAATAGAAAAACGCTTCTTGGCGCTTTTTCGATATCGTACGGACAAAATCGACGTGCTGGGGGTCATCCTTTAACAAACGGCGTCCTCGTGCCGCCCCTCAACCCCCAGTCTCGCCATCGTACGCGTAGCAATCTGCCCTCACTGTTGCATATAAGCCAGGACTAAATTGATTCAAAAGCGTTTAATGCCGTAAGCAAGATTCCGTCGAAATTATACCAGTGGCTAATGCCGTTGTATTTGCGTAGTTATAACATCCGCATCATCCCCGCCATCCTCCCCCCCCCCCCAACAACCCCGTGCAGATTATGGAATTACGTTTTTATGTCCCCCGGAGATTTCATCGCTCGTCGCCAATTAATATTTCGTGAAATAATAGATTTCATTTCGTCGAAAAGTATTCCCATTCGTTTTGATTGATCGTTAGGGAACTGGGGACGGGGACTATAAATACGAATTTAAACTCCCGTTTTTTATTTGACTTTCTTTGTACGACCCTGTATTATTTTTCGTAGAAAAGTAATTCTATTTGACATGTAATTCGGCATCCAACTAAAAGTGTACTGATTATAGCAAAGTTTTTGACAAAATTGATCTCAATATCCTAATAAGAAAATTGCGACCGTAAATGAACCTTAATTTTGTATTATTGTATAAGATGATGTTAAAAAATGTTTTCTAATATACTGCTTTATGCTGACGATATAAAATTTTTCTCGACCATAAATGCTGTGTTTGGGGTTGCAGAATGATTTACATGAATTTGAAAAATTGAACAAATGGGACTTGGAGAGATTATGTCAAATCTAATTAGAACATACTTAACAAACCGCAGATAATACGTAACTCTGGAGAACTGCGGTAGCAGATTTATGGTTAACAAGTGTGGGGTCCCTTAGGGTTCCGTCCTTGGGCCCCACTTGCATAACTTGTATGTCTTGAGTCTGTGCTTGGCCGGATGAGAAGCACAATATTATAGATTTGCAGATGATACGGTCTTAATTTATACATCAAAAAATTCAGAAGTATTGGCAAACAATGACTTCAAGGGATACAACAACTGGCTGTTAAATTTTATGTAAACAAAAAAAAATATCTTAAAAGAAATGATTTTGCTTTAAAAAGAGTTGATAAAATAAAATATTTAAGGCTTATGATTGACGATCAGCTAAATTGGAATGCTCACATTAGTAATATAAAGAATAAAATAGTTCTCTGTTTCTTTTCGCTTATAAGATATCTTATTACAGTCTAATAAAATAAAAATAATCCAAAATAAAATTCTTAAAACTCTATTTACTTTAGATCTAAACTTATTTTTAAAATAACACAGAACAAAACTAAAAGCAACACCAAAATAATCAATGAAATAGACTCAGACAACTTAAGAAATCACACTGACATACAGTTACGGAATGCCAGAATAAATAAAAAATGGCCAAATCCAAAAAGTGCGACCTTAAATACATACAACCTACTGCCTAACATTGTGAAAAATAAGATTTCTTATGATATTTTTGTTAAAAAGTTAAAAAATATTTATACATTGAACTGAGGTGGCTTTTACTTGATGAAAATCCGTTTATCAAAATAAATAAGAACTAAAAGTTCAGATTTTCACGAAATTATATATTTTGACATGACAATTGTTTCGACAACACCGTGTACCTGTATCATTGATACAAGCACGGTGTTGTCGAAACAATTGTCATATAAAAATATATAATTTCGTGAAAATCTGAACTTTTAGTTCTTATTTATTTTGAAAATATTTATGCAATATTATATTGGAATATGATTAGATAATTCAGTTAAAATGCTTAATGCATTGTTTAGAAAGTTATCTTAATTCATGTTTAGAAAGTATAGTAGTGTATTACAGTACAATTATAGCATGTATATGTAGGGTCTGACTGAATAAAGAATTATTTAAAAAAAATTATTTACAAATAGATTTAGATAAATATGGGTATATCTACACGAAAACTCAACTTTAATGAAACTTCACTGAAGCAGATACAAAAAAATTAAAGTTCTAGTGGTATTCATTAAATTGGTTATATATTTATAGTCGATTAACTTTATCCAAAACAAATTTTTAAGTTATCTCGATTATAAAAGTTCTGGTTATTATAACAACGCTAAGCTAGCTTCGTTCACACATGTGACAAATGTGTTCTGATCATATAATATATATTGCAAAGAAAATCAATGATTTGTCACAAGTAGAGACATAGAGGGGTCATTATGGACTTATTATAGACTATGCCTCAACACTCTGGAAACTAAATTGTAAATCAAATAAAATAAAATATAATCTTAGAATTCGCTAGCACCAACTGTTTGTAAAATATTTTGCTTTTAACCAATCGATAAATGTGCTTTCAAAAAATTGAAGCAATTGTAATTAAAAGAAGAAATATATCATTAAATTTATTCTTTTGTTGTTACATAAGAAAATACAAATTTATATGTAGAATTTTAACGTATAGCTGGGTAGTAGGTTGTCAATAAAAATTTTGACACGCTTTTATAGCACATTTTTATTTTAAAAACATTTGAGAAATAAGCCTATGAAATATCGGACCCTTATTAAATAACACCGTGTATACTAGGGTCAGAAATTGGGACAAAATTTTTAATTGCGTTTGGGACACTTGGAGAAAAACTGAAATTTAAATATTTTGCATTTACCTCATTCTAGCCTTATTTGACAAGATGACCCAAAATCAAAAGCACATTTGCCATATTTTCACCTATGGGAGCCACATTAGATTATAAAGGTACAAAATATTATTGATTTAATTGAATAATAGTTAAAAGTTAAGGGGACAGAAATTTACTGATTATTTCCTATGATTTGCCTATATTTATATTTCCTATATTAATATTTATTTTATTCTCGTCCTAAAGTGTACTTTTGATATCCTAGTTATACTGTTATTAAAGGATAACTATGCGTTGAAAGTGGATATCTGTTGTTTCTGTTTCTGTCGCTGACTAATTATTTACAAAGTAATGCCGGTTAGGTCGACGGTATAATGTCACGAAATGTACGTGTAATGTTCTTGCGAAATTCAATATCCAGTATACGTATTGATATACCTACATCATGTTATGTCTAAAATAAATGCCACCTCCAGTTGAAGATATTTTGTTTCTGAGCACGCATGAATTTAACGAATTATACAATTTAATTCTTCAAAAAAGTGCTTTTCGTTGTATTGATAAAATCGCGAATAAAATTTCTGACGTTATTTTTACAACACTCGAATAAAAATCTAAATTGGCGGGCGTAAAGTCGCTTACATTGTGCGCAATATGTATGCTGACTTTATGGCATTTTTATCGTGGAAAGCGGGTAAAAATTTATAGCTCTTTTGTTTTCTCTGAGAGATTTATATTGTTTAAGGTCAACTAAGTTCTAACGTTTTCGCTGATGGTTTTGTTTTTGATATTTCAAATTAAATTACTTTACGGCCATCTGTCGTCGAGGGCAAGGAATAAAATTTCCGAAGATATTGCTTGCCTTTAGATGATAGAGGGCGCCAGCAGCTTTATTAGGTTGTATAACCGTTTTAAAGTTCTTTGCTTTTTCGTTTGCTCCTCGTTTCATCTCTTCTCTCGCAGATGGCAACTCTAGTGATTACGAGCGCTTTGCACGCGGTGAACGCGGTACAGTATTAAATATTAAAGCTGTCCATTGCGGTCGCTTTCTATGAATTGTTATTTTTACTCTTTGGAAATCATAAAAGATAATAAAACAGCCATAGATTTTTTCGTTCCTTTTTTAAACAAATTTTAGAACTATCTCAAAAATTGTCCTTAAAATCTGGGTACTGGAATTTTGAATCAGCCGGCGTATTAACGGTAATTTTGAAAACGGCGGTTTTGATTGTGGGGAAAATGAAACATTTCATGGGAAACAGATACTTTATTGATATTGCGTTATGGTAAGTAACACTTAAAAATATGTAGTACAAAATTAGTTTCAAACATAAAAATGAAATGTAACAAAGGTAACATACAGAGTCGCATGGCTTGATGTGTTTTTAAAAAAATATCCAAATGAACACTCACGTTAATTAAACAGTACAAAAAATAATCAATAAAATTCTAAACGTTTTCGCTCGTATAATAGAATATCAATTTCTAAAGTCTTATTAAAAATATTCTTCTAATACAAATTGTGCAACCAACTAATCGAATTGTACTCTGTGTTTAACACTTTTTTTAAGTCGCTTTTCTCTAGGAAAATATAGGGTTTTTTTTTAAGTGCGATATATTAACTACATTCATTATTCAGTACGGGACACATTTTATTCGGATTCATTTAATTTGATTTTATTGTTTGTCCATCACACTTCTAGGTAAAATTTTTTTCAGTGTTACATCACACATAAAAAGCCCTTTTCGCGGGGGTTGTTTACATTTATAAATAGACGTTGAACGCCTAGTAAGAGTAAAGTGTTTTTAACAAGTAGGAGTCCTGAAGTTTATTTCGGAATTACTGAGGAAGACGGAAACGTTTCGGAGATAAAATGCAGACAGCTGAGGAGAAGTTTACCTAACTACACCCTGTTTAGCTCTAGAAAGGTCTAAACGATAGATAAGTATTAAAGTACATATGTACATGTAAAACAATATACGTACAGGGTGCGTCAAAATAACCGCAATTTTGACGCACCACCCGTAGTTGTTTTCCAAGTTGCGTTTTTTTTTTGTCACAGTAAAGTTACATTATTTAAGCACAATATTTAACATTATTCACAGCATGATTTTTAAAGGAAACTTCTTATCAAATTAAATAACCAAAAAAACTATTCAGATATATTGGTAGAAATTTAAAACGTCCGCCGCCGTGGTTAAAAAAAGAAAAATGAAAAATTAATCAGTCTGAGAATTGTCAGTCGCGTTAAAGCTTAAATTTAAAAGTACGTCTTTGGCATTGTCGATTTGATTTTGGAAATGGTCGTCGCTGGTTAACGGGTGATTTTTCTGCAGAATGTCCTTAAAACTTTGTTGCGACGGCGGCTGGTCCGCCATTGCGCTTGAAGTGGCCGAACTTTTCGAATCGCTTTCCATACTCGAATTCGAACTTTGGCTGTGGTTGTGGCCGCCGGATCTGTGATAACTTCGGTTGCGACTTTCTTCGCTTTTCGGACAGTTCGGTTTATGCTCGGCCGCTTCCGTGTTCGATATGTTGTCAATTTTTTTCCACTTCGTGCGTCGATTCTGGAACCATATTTTCACCTGAAACGAAAACATTTGTTTATTTTTGACAGGCAACTAGGGTACACTGGCAAAGCAATGAATGCTGAGCCTGCAGAAAACCGTCTTGCTAAAATTAGTTCTCATTTTCCGAAACATACTATGAATGTATGCAGTAAATTACATACAAGACAGACATAAGATGCGGTCAGCTTATATCAAAGATCTCCACAACAATAACAATAACACACACAGTGTCTACCACAGACTTTTCGAAGGCGTTTGGCAGAGTCAGTCATCAGAATCAACAAATACATTTCCAGCGAAATTGTGGTGTATTCGGGTGCGCCTTAGGGTTCACACATAGGTCCAGTTTTCTTTAATTTGTTTATAAGAGATGATTTTAAATTTTACAAAACAATTGAATCATTTATGGACGCTCAGTTTCAAAATAGAGATATTATTAACAATACAACGATAGAGTGTCACTAGAGTTAGGGACCTTGGAGTTATCTTTGACAGTAAACTGACCTTTTTGGATCAGCTGGAGGATATTGCTAACAAGGGCATGAGAGCTCTGGGTTTTATTACCCGTAATAGTACACTGCTCTCATCCGACTGTTTTAAGACCCTTTATTGCTCCTTAGTTAGATCTACACTGGAATATGCATCAGTAGTGTGGTCTCCACATTACAGATGTTACATTCATAGATTGGAGACTGTTCAGAGGGCATTTCTGAGGTTCGTAGCATATAGAGCTGGTATAAATATCTACAATAACTTTCATATTAATTATGTTCTGGTCTTTTGGGATAGATGGTCTGGAAATTAGAAGAACCCGATATCTTGACGTTAATTATTATTTAAATTTTGAACGGTGTATATAACTATCCGACTCTCCTCCAGTCCATTGATTTTAACATCTAACAAAGACGTCAGAGCTCCCCAATGTTTTGTGTTCCATTTCATCATTTCAACTATAGCTATTTTTCTCCTTTCACTCGAACCTTGAGGTTATTTAACAGTTGCTCTCTTGATCCCTTTGCTGGCGGTGTTCGACTGTTTAAGACAAAATTAAAACAGGTGGTTGATTGTGGTGTGATACTGTTTGTTTACCGGTTCTTACTGTTTGTGTGTTTTTTTATGTTTTACATGGTTATTTAAAAAGCTTGTTATCTAAGTTGTTTTGTCATGTTGCTATTTATGTTATATTTATATTGTTACCTTTTCTTTGTAAATTGGCTCAGCCGTTGAAATAAATAATAATAATAATAATAATAATAATAATATTAATATTAATAAATAATAATAATATGACTTTATTGTAATACAATATCGCAAAATATATCGCAAAAGGCGAAGTTGAAGTCATACTACTTCGTTTAGCCTATGATTGCCTTAGATTTATTATTTGTTAATTTTTAGTTAATAGGTAAGCTCGTACAATATACAATTAAAAAGAATACTATACAAAAGAAGAGAAACAAAAAGAAAATAAATGAAAACAAAGAAGCCTCTGTCATACATGTACCTATTATTATTTACAACAATGTATTTATATAAAAAAGGATATAACAAAAGTAGCGCGTATGATGTACTCACTTCGATTTAATTCAATTTTATTCAAATTTAATTTTATGAAATAGATATTTAGGGCATCTTTTACTGGTTGTTTTATTATATATCACATTTTCTCCATTTTGAACCATCCCCAATTAAAGGTACAGAACGTTAAATTTTCTTACGGACTTCGCATTGCAAATAATATGCGTGGCAACAATGTAAATCTAAATTGGTATTTACTAAAGGTTTGTTTATTGTTTATTATAAATTGTAAACTCGCCGTAAAAGTAGTACTTTTTTCTACCAAACGAGGAGAATCCTTTGTTTTGAAATTAATTTCATTGCAAATGGTTATTTCAGAATAGAGTTCGTCCCCATTAAGTTCAAATTTTTCCTCTAAACACTCCTGTCTATAATTGAAATACATTTATTAAAAACTAGCTCCAACAAATAGCAAATGCAAATAATGATTTTATAACCGCGTTCCAAAATGTAAATTATATAATACTGTTGGGACAACCCTACTGGGAACTGGCAACACACAATTTCAGGGTTGATTTTAAGTCTATATTTTTACGTATTTTTATCAGATAAAAGTTGTTGTTAAAGATGCGCTTATTATGAACTGTTAATTTTTTGGTGGTAGGCACGTTGATGTTTTCAAACAAAATATGGTTGGTTATTGTGGTGGAGTTTTGTTTTTAAAAGTGTCTTTTTAGCTTTGGATTCATAATATAATTATAATTTTCATTGTTTGAAAACCTATAGTTACCACACATATAATAACTTGGATGGGTGGTTGTATAAAAAATCCATAATTCCTAAAACTAAAAGCGAAAGAAATGGGGAAGTCTGCATATACTAATTATCATCTGTTTTCTCGCATTACCCAAAACTATATTCTGTACAATTCTCTTACATTTATGGTTAATTTTTGTTATAATGAAATACAAATTCTTTATCAGCGTGTTTTATAATAGTTTAATTTTTTTCTTTTATCTTTATTTAGACTTGCGATGAAGAAATTAGCGTTCGGAATCGATTTCCTCATCGCTACAGGTTGTACAGTTGCGTCTTTAATATTCCATAGGTTTGTAAAAGTGAAAATACATGGTTTGCTTTATAAAAGTAAATTTACACTTCTAATAGTCATCTTTTGTGATTTCGATTTTTTTTTTAATTTTTCATCGATGGTGAACCTATAGGTTTATGAAATCGAACGCTGTCCAATTAATAAGTTAAGTAAGCAATGGGAAAAAAATTGAAGCAAAATTTTGTGGTTGATTAAGGATTGCTTATAACATAAAATTGTTTTAATGATAAAGGAACAGTAAAAAATATTTTGACGAAGCTAAACTCACAAGATTTACACTATAGCCAAACAATTCGTACTGGTATCTATTGAATATGATTTTTTTTTCAAAAATATATTCGGTGTCTCTCAGATTTTAATAGGCAATATTGAAATACTTTTTTAAATAGAGCTCGCTGTGTTTTCTTCATTTTTTACTCCATATGTCCAAATCATTGGCTATTTGTAGTATTTCACTTTCGCAGTTCGTCTCGGAAGAATCCGATCATGAGGTTATAATATATATTAAAAAAAAATAATAATAAATATATTTGAATACGAGAAACAGTGCGGTTTTATTTTTTTTCTCCCACCTCCTATCAAATGAAAATAATTTAATATAAAATATAAAAAAATGTCTTTTAACACCCTGTATCTTGCGAAAACCGCAATTCTAATTTTTAGGAAAATTCTGCGTGTATAAAACGGATGCCGTTTTTGCCTTTTCGAATATCACTACCCTTTCGGTCATGGTAGTAAGGCATATATCGCGTTACGGGTCTTCTTTTTAAGGGCCAGGGGAAGTTTTGAGCTGAATTTTAATTACGCCTCTTTATTGGTTTTCGTCGGGCGCGGATTTTTTAGATTGAAGCGTTCGTAATCCCTTATTCAGGGTGGCCCGCCCTTTTTTATTATTATTTTATATATACAAAAATTAAGCAAAGCGAATTGATAACTTTCGGCAGAGGGCACGGTATTGAAAATAAAGATCGCAATGTGTATCCAATTTTAATTTGAGAATAAAAAATTTGATATAATAATGTACGATTTTTTTTTTGTTTTGAAAACAATTACAAAAATATATCAATTTGAAGGAAAATTTTACAAATTAATTTTCCATGTGGCCTAGTTTAAATTTAAAAAGGTTTCAAAAACATTATTGTCACAGTTATTTAGCTGTCTTAATAGTTTTTTTAATCGAGCTTGATTAATTAATAATATATTAATATAATAATAAAATTTATCACGACAATTCCGGGGCAGTCTAGCTTAAAAGCTGTTTTACTGAACCGGACGATGTTAACATGTCAACATTTAACTTTAGACATTACACATTTGAACAATTCATAACAAAAAAAATTTAAACTTCTTAGGGTCAGTACTTATATAAAAAAATATATTAAAACCATAAACAATTTTGTAATATGAAAATGTTATTGTTAGCTTAAACCAAATTTAATATAATTTTTTATATGTGTATTTGAAAGTTTTAACATTGAAACAGTGTTTAAATTATAACAACGCACGGCGTTATACGAAAAAGAACGACGCAACATGGTGGGGCATTGTAAATTTAATAATATTTAAATTATGTACGTTATAACAAAATATTAATCGCTCACGAATAAAGGTGGTAGCAAGGGGATCGTTAATATTTTAATTAAAAAACAACTAAAATGTAGATCACTACGAGCATCCGTTCTGAGCCAATTTATATCGCTATGAAGGTGAGAAGTTTGAGCAAATTTTCGGATTCCATAGACAACACTTAGATATGAGTTTTGAACTTTTTGTATTCGGGTTCTACTCTCATGATCCAAGCAAAAGCCGTAGAAAAAATCACTATAATTAAAGTTAGACAAGACAAGTGACTGAAATAAGTTTCTTCTCAAACAAAATAGATTTTTGAATGTTCCTTATACCGAAGTTGAGTATCCAATACAACATCCAGATTATTTGCAGTAGTTACAAATTTTAACTTTAATGTTAAGTCTACCGACTAAAGGCATAGTTTTGTTTTTACTTCCGAAAATCATATAATTAGTATTTAAGTATCTGCCATATTTACTTATTCTTTTCTCTATCGCCCTTCAGTTTCTAATTTTATCTAATTTAATCCAAATTAAAATGTCGAACAACGCAGTCAAGTAAGTTGATGTTTGCGGTGACGAAATATAATTAAAGAACCTTAATTCTTTAACAATAAATGTTATTATTTGTTTATTGTTCTTTACTTCGTTCCACTTTGACGTTTAGTTTTCTCGTTAGTATCGGTGTGACTCATGGGTACATATAGTTGTTTACATTAAACAACAACCAACTCTAATTCTATTTACGTCTAAATTTCGAGCAGTTGCATATACAATAAACTTGAAGGATTTAATTAGTACATTGTAATCGGAACACA